CCGTCCTGAACCCTGGTGAAGAAGCTGCAATGATTCCTTTTTCCTCTGCCCACGACTTAAAGTACAGCAGTGTTTCCCAAACTTTATTGAACATAAAAAAACCTGAAAAACTTGTTAACCGTCCTGAACCCTGGTGAAGAAGCTGCAATGATTCCTTTTTCCTCTGCCCACGACTTAAAAGTACAGCAGTGTTTCCCAAACTTTATTGAACATAAAAAAACCTGAAAAACTTGTTGAAATCCAGATTCATGGGTCTGATCCTGAGAAGTTCTGATTCTGAGGCCCATGAACTTGCATTCCTAAGAAGCGTTCAGGGATGCTGATGATACTGATCTATACTGCACTGCATTACACTCTCATTATTTGGTTTAAAAAAAAGGGAGAGAGAGGGAGAGAGAGAGAGATCCATCTTCATTTCCACCAGAATTAGACTTCCAAATATTTAGTAATAGATCTGCCGTGCACTGCATTACACTCTCATTATTTGGTTTAAAAAAAAGGGAGAGAGAGGGAGAGAGAGAGGGATCCATCTTCATTTCCACCAGAATTAGACTTCCAAATATTTAGTAATAGATCTGCCATTGCATGAAGTTGTAGCATAGCTTGCTTGGCAGGGTTCAGGAGGGTAAATGCTTATCCCTCAATCTAGTCAGAAATGTGGTGAAAGTCAACAAGGGTAGGAGGATCAGCAAATGACACTAACAGGGAAAAACAGATGCTTATGATACATTCTTTCTGGAGAGTATATATTGTGCCATCCTCCAAAAGGAAAAGCAATTTTTAAAAAAGGGAAATTGAAAAAAAATGAGAGAAGAAATCTTTTCTATGCAAAAGTTAACAGGCGGTCTCACTTGACGGCATTTATTCTGGTTATTACTAGTGAAGAATTAATCTTCCCTCTGCAGCTACACAGCTGCAATAAGACAGCCACAAGATTTACTATGAGTGATATACCTGACATTCTCTACTACATGCGTAGTACCTGATTTGTATGTCTAATTCAAGAGAAAGAAAAGTCAATAGATTTTTAAATTTTACTTTTCAGTAACATGTGCTTTTTCTCCATTCCAGAACATAAATAAATAATTTTGGTAAAATATGGACTTAAGGTCAAATTTGGGTGGTGCCAGGGAATTTTCTGGAGTGACAGAAATTTCCTACATTTTGCCTTCTGAGGTGGTTATTTAGGTACGTACAACTGTCAAACCCATTGAAACTATAAGGTCTGTACATTTTATTGTATGTTAAGTAAACCTGAATTTTAAAAAGTGGGTGGTTCTCTAAGAGTTCTATGAATTTCTTCCTATAATTAAGAAAAGGATACAGTCCTCCTCCTGGAAATAGGACTCTGCTACCTGTTAAAAACAAATGTAAAACAGAGGAAATTAAATTAACATTTGGATGAAGAGACGTATTTGGAAGAAATTAAGACCTAGAAACTCTGAATGCCTTTGATAACAAACTAGAAAACTCTTATTTAACTATATTCACCATTCAGAAGAAATTTGACGATAGGCACAGAACACAATTCTGAAGTCACAGGCAAAACAAACATTCTTTGGTCTGTTTACAACTGTGTTCTTCCTATTCTATTTCACGTCAAAGTGTACTTCCCTGATTCATTAGTTTAGAAGTATGAACTCTAAAAAATGAGAAAAATGCTGCAGAGGTCCATAAAGGTATAACACAAGTGAAAAAGTGATTCTGTTTATTATAAATTAAAAATCTGAAATATGTCATACCATGTGAGATCTTAAAACTCCATTCATTTCATTTCTATTTCACAAACTACTAGGTGAAGACTTCACATGACCTGACTTTTTGGTTCTGTTTTCATATTTAAGCAAAGGCCTGGCCAAGTTCTAACAGTTGAGTAAAGATGTTTGGAATATGAATACAGAGCTGCACATTGTAAAGAACACTATGTAAGTAGTACAGAGACTTAGGATCTGGTCCCAAATCGAGGATTGCCACTTACCAGATTCATTCTAAAGCACCTTTAAATTTAAAAATTCTTTGATTCTGAAAACTTCAAGGTTTTTTAAAAAAAGATCTTTAGATATGGCATTTATGAATAGATTAATGACACTCTTAAGTACTCACTGATAAATACTGGAATAAGCTATTTTCATGGTTAGAATATTTAATATATTTATACTTTTAAAATAGTTTCTACTGATTTACTATGTTTCTAGAAAGAAAGGCTATCCATTTATAGATCATTATCTCTATTTTCTAGGTAACTGCCAATGCAAAGAACAATAAAGTACTCGTCAAACCCACAAGCTAGCAATAGAAAGGAATGGCTTTTCCCAAATCCCCCGGTGGATGCAGCATACTTTTAAAGGAAGATACTTGCCCAGTTTAAATATATTCTGTAGATCTAACATTTTTCCATGAGCAATACAGATGATTAGACTCAATCATCTCCTTGTAAAATTTCAGTTTAAACTACAGTTGAATTCCACACTTATTTTACATTGTGGGTTTTGCAAGGGATAAGTTGATTTTCAAGATCTGGTTGTCTTTTATTGGCTTATTGTTCTAATAGTATGTTACAGAAGTATTAATTTGAACCAAATCAAATTGCTTATATTCAACTTTTTTTTAACCTACAAAACGAGAATTTCACATTATGATGTAACAATTGGTGTGTGGATAAATGTCTAACAGTTGTCTCCAGGGTGCTGGGAGAGACCCAATTTGTAGTGTTTGCTCATTTCTGCAGTGTGAATTTTCCCATCATGGCCAAATTCAAGTTACCAACATGACAGACATCATTGAACATGGTTCTATGAGTCAGTACTAGCAGGTCCCGGCATACCACTGGGTTACACCTAATAGAAATCAATAACAACATTTCAACTACAAACTTCCAGTGAAAAATCAATAGCACTGCAGAGAGTTTCCCTTCATGATGTGAGATATAGTTTCAGGTTGCCCATTAAAATAAAATGTTTGCCTCTTCAAAGCCATTTTCCCTGCCTTTTTTGTTTATGCACCATTGGCACATATTTATTTATGCTCTCATTTGAGAAATTTTGATAGGATCCACAGCTATATGTAACAAGATTTCTTGGAACTACAGAAATATAATTTTCAATTAGCTTTCAGGTTTCTGTGGTAATTCTAATACCATCAAGTAACCCTGAAGAAAGGGTCATGAAACCCAATGCGTCAAAAATAAAAGGTATTTCCAGGTAAAAGGACAGCTTGAAAAATAAATATACAGAGTATTTCTCCTATAAAATCCTCCCCCTAGCAAGTCTAGCAGGACAAGGGAAGATGTGAGATGAGGCTGCTGTAAGGATCGAAAGAGTGAACATGTATCTAGCATAGTGCTCGGCATATCGTAGTAAGTGCTTAACATGGTTTTTGAGTCTGAACCACAAATGCAAGATGCAGAGCAGAATCATGTGAAGAAGTTGAAAACCATTTCGGGAGGGCAATAGTTTTAAGGTAATCCTGGTTTCAGGTTTTTTCTTTTAATCTACAAGGTTGAAAACCATTTCAGGAGGGCAATAGTTTTAAGGTAATCCTGGTTTCAGGTTTTTTCTTTTAATCTACAAGGAACAACAAAAAAATCAGGAAGGTGTTATGGCCTGAATGTTTGTATCTCTCCCAGATTCATATGTTAAAACCTAATCCCCAATGTGGTAATATTAAAAGGCAGGGCCTTTGGAAGTCTCTGCCCTCATGATGGGATTAGTGTCCTCACAAAAGAGGCCTGAAGGAGCTAGTTTGCTCCTTCAGCCATGGGAGGACACACTTTGAATCAGACAGTAAGCACCGGCACAGAAGCTGCCGGTGCCTTGACCTTAGACTTTCCAGCCTCCAGAACTGGGGGCAATAAATGTCTACGGTTTATAAATTATGCAGCCTGTGGTATTTTGGGGACAGCAGCCCCAGTGAACTAAGACAGAGGTGAATCTTTTAGCCACAGACTCAGAATGGCTTCAAGGATCCCAGCAGATTTGTTTCCTGCCTGAGTCTGACAATAGTTTCAGTATAAGCTCACTGAACACAGAGTACAATGCTTGATGTTTTTCTTCTCAACTCTACGTGAAAAGCTTCCAAGTGCATGACTTCAGTTATACCTTTAAAGCTAATCTGCACTCACATTAACTAAGTCAGTGTCTGAGAGATTATTCATACCTAAGAAGATTCCATACCTAATGGAATCTTTAAGCATTCCAAGAACTAAAAATACAAGTATATGTCTAAAGTAACTGTAGTCATATTTCCAATGAACTTTAGCACATATTATTCTTTATAATATCACTTAATACAAATCATAATAATTTCCCCCAAATTAACTCTCCCTCTCTAATTCTTGCCCCAAATGTTTCTACCTGAACCATGAAGAAATAATCAGACAAATCCTACTTATGGGACATTTACAAGAATTCTTGGGCTTTTCATAAGTGTCAATGCTATGAAAGTAAAAAAAAAAAAATTATTTTTTAAAGGCAGGAGGAGACCGTTCTGAATTTCAAGAGACTAAAGAATTTTTTTTTTTTCCTTTTTTTTTTGTCTTTTTT